CAGTGATACCTGCACACACAATGGGTTGAGTTCCTGGAGAAAAACCATGAGTTTAGGGAACGCAAATTGATTAAAACAGGTGGTACCCATGGCTGCCATTGGACTAGAGGAAGATAGTTTCTTTCTATTACTGGTTGGTAAAAAAACTTCCCATTTCTTTGGAGGGAGTTACTATGTCCCTATGTCAAGGCTGTCTGCTGTACAAACTTTTTGAAAAATATTTGGAGTGAAGGGGCACTCAGTGCCCCTGCTTACAAAATGTGCAGAAAGGTGAGAGACCATGCAGACTGATCTGCCAACAGCCACTTGCCAATTTCTAACAACTGAACACTTCTTTTTTACTTCCTTCGTAGTGTCCTTCCTCCTCTAGACTATTTCCAGTAACCTTAAGACATTTTTTATATTCATCTCATTTAATTCTTGCCTATTTTATTTCCTGATAAAACAATGACTGGCATGCAGAGGATATTCAGTAAAGTTTTCCTGAGTGAATCAATGAATGAATGTCACAATATACAAGAATTAATCAAAAAGCCAAAACATGGGTAACTGATTAAGAAACTAAATAAACTAATAAGATGCAACAAGCAAAATATAATACTGAAATCTTTGAATAATATTTAAAGTGTAGAAAAATGTTAAGAAAAGAAGTATGAAAATTGTACTTGAAGAATATTTCAAGTTGGTAAATAAAAACACACGTAAAAAAACATGCACATGTGTACGGAAAAATCTTTTAAAATATGCACCAAATATTAAGTATTTTTGAGTGGGACAGCTATAGATTATTTTTTTCTATCTTTCCCCATTTCTTTTCTAATAGTTTGTAATTTGTACATACTATTTTAATAATGAGGAGGAAAAAAACAACTGTATTTTAAAGTCTTTATTATTTCACAACAAAAAAATGTACAGCAAATATCGTGGGACTATTGACACTTCTTCCTAGTCTCTGCCAAATACAAAATTCCTCTCCAAACCATGAGCAAGAATGAAATTCTGGTTGTTATGTTCTACAGCTCACGGTCAATATTCTTCAGAATATGGATAATAAGGATGGGAAGCACACAAGAGACAAACAGACATTAATTTATTAACTCTTTCTCCACACTGTCAAAAAATATCATTTCTCCTAAGATGTAGTTAAAATCCAGTCTAAAAACTCTGAGTTTGCAAACATGTTCTTACTTTTTCGAGCCTGAGCCAGGAGTAAACCTCTGGTCTGAGGGTTACGGGCAGATCCTCTTTCTTTCTTACTCCCCATATCAGGCCTGTCTTTCTGATGTAGGAAGCTTCATTCCTCTGTGAACCTACTTGCTGTGGAAAACAACCATGAAACAATCTGTGAGGGTCACTTACAACAGCAATCGAGAGTATCGGAAATTTCTGTCGAGGCCGTTGATCGCTTTCATGTCCTCTGGAGTCAATTCAAAGTCAAAAACCTGAGAGGAAGGAAAGAGTCCCACTGAACTTCTCCCCAGGGCAGCTGGTCCTCCCTGGGAGTGCCAGGACTTCCAGGGACAGCATTTGTGCATTTGTGTCATCGTCCGCTTTGGGTGCTGAGCTCTGCCTCCTCTCCTTTCTGACCCCACCCCCGCTACCCTGCTCCTCTTCACAAAGGAAAGACTTACAGCTCCCGAATCCCACCCTTTCTCAGAGAATCGCTTCAGGCAGCAAAAGCAAAAGCCTTCAATTCCAGACAAAAGAACAGTAGGACGGTCTGGACAGAATACCTGCTGCCCGGACTCAACCAGACCCAGGGAAGCTTCTCCTTCCTCAGCACCCCTGGGACTTGACCTACCTTGACCTACAGAACAACCCTCTCCAAGGACCTGCTGGCAGCAGGAAGAAGCATTCCCTGATCAACTGCGGGACCATGCCCTGTGCTCATCTCAGGCCCCCAAACACTGCCCATTTCCAGCTGTGTTTACTCTTCCCTGTGAAGATCCTTTCTGGTTGATCTTCGAGACCTGTAGATCATACATTCCAAGAGTTTTCCCTTTAGAGTAAATCTCTTTTACTTAAGTCCAGATTTATTTTTATTTGATTATTCCTATCCCTGATCGAGATTCCCTTAATAGCAAAGCAGAGAGATCTTTGGTTAAAAAAAAGAAAAAGAAAGAAATTATAGATATGCATATACACACACACGTATATATGGTTATATATATATATATTATTTATTATTCCATGCAGGAGACTATTTTATACAAATCTCAGCCTTACGTATGTAAGTATGTATATCTATCTATCTACCTTCTATCTCATCTATTTGTTTCTCTACCTATAAAGTATATATATCTGTCCATCATCTCTCTGTCCATCCATCCATTTATCCATCAGTCATTCATCTTAAAAATATACTCCGGAAGTGATATGGTTGTCATGGGGACATGTATTAACAATGTTAATTTATTTGAAAAATAAAATGACATTTTTTTCTGCATAGTTTAACAATGAGATTTAGATTTGCCTATTGGATTTTTCTATAAATCAATGAACTTCATCTACAGCTATGAGGTTTTAAAACAAACACATTATTAATAATATGCTCCACATGTCATCTTTTGTAAATATTAAACTCATAATGGAATTTTAACTGTCTTCTTAAAATGGGAAAGAGCTTATATAGTCTTTCGAAATTCTTATGGAATTAAAAACAAAAATCAGTTGAAGACACTGGCTGATCTAAGGGACCAGAGTGTATATGAGGAAGTGTGTAGGGAATAAACTTTACTGACCGACTTGTTAATTTGGTCTGTCAATAAATATACATCCATTTTCCCACCTTCTAAGAGCTCTGACAGGAAAAAAAGAAAAAAAAGGATAAAAGATGACCCAGTGGGAGTTACTGTATCTCAGGATCTCACAATCCAGAGAGCTCACTGACACATAAGGTAATTAATTTAAATTAATATTAATAAGGAAAAAACTTACTTACAGAGCCAGGTCAAGTACGATGGTGGTGTAACACGGGAGTCCCCCATCTGAGAGGGCACTTGCATAGTGAGAGGCACCGATGGTGGCCAGTTGGTAAGAAGTCCACACTGCCATGGAGGATGTACAGCAGTTATATATTTAGTAGATCAAAGTGGGGATGTGAATCATTTTCAGGCTTATCTGAAGACCCTCACCCAGGGCACATAACTCAAGGTGCACCTGAGACAATGCTGGCTAGATAAATTAATCTATTAGCTAATCTCCTGGCATGAGAGTGCTTGCTGGCTTACTTATTGTCCTGCTTATCTAAAGAGGATGTGCCTTTCCCCGTGTAACTGCCTTGGCCAGGGGGAGCCCCTCTAGGGAGGAGGGAGGTGAACTCTGGTATGCAAGGTAGGGGGCAATAAGGCTATATCCAGCATCTACCCTACATTCCACCCTACGTACAATATTCCACCCTCACAATCTTCACGTCACATTAATCTTCCGCATGTCCCCTTGAGTGGAGTAACAAGTCACACATTGTATCCAGATACCACAAATACAGTACAACCCACAAGTACCAAACAAGCAGAAGCCACAGGAGCTCACGTACATCTTCTGGTCCCAGCACATCCTCCCTGTGCTCCAGCTGACTTATCAGGCTGCTGTCCAGCAAGCCTCGGCGGAGACCCCAACTGTCCCTCTAACGCGTCTCTCCTAGCCTGTTGCCTGAGTTTCCTTCCTTCTGCCAGGTTTGTTAGGTGTGCAGACATGCAGAGTGTCTTCTCGGCCATGATCCATATACCTTTTAAACTTGGAACACGCTGTGGAAATCATGTTTTGAGTTTTCAAGTGATGCATTTCTGCTGGTTTACGTGTTTAAGACTTGTTTCCTTGTTTACTGACTTTGTGAGCACAGGGAAGATGGACCCTTCGTTCATGGCTCAATCCCCAGGGCTTAAAGGTCTGGCAGGACATTAGGCACACATAAGCCAGTTAATACATGCTTGTTGCATAAATGTTGAATGAGAGCACCTAGTTAATGACATTGAAAAAGAATCATGAGTGACTCAAAAAGCCCAGTTGTGTGGAAAATGGAAAGGATGGGTGGTATGGACTCATTTCCAATTGTTAGCCAAAAATAAATGCTGTTGTGTGTGTGTGTGTGTGTGTGTGTGTGTGTGTAGTCATGTATATGTAATCACCTGTCCTTACTGCTGGTGCCTTAGATGTTTTCTCCCAGAACACTGGAAGTTTTCCTGTTAGCTATTTCCTAACATTTGATTCTTATTGAATGAGACCTGATTTTCCACGTTCCGTGGTGAAGCCGATTTCTCTAATTCATTTTGGATAGAAGTTGTGTGGAGCTTAGACTATGTTCCCAGAGTACACATCTGTTACTGAAACCAGTGCCATCGAGCAGGGGGAGCAGGAGGCGGCAGGAACAGCCGGTGACAATGCCATCGAGGAAGTAAATAGCTTCCCTCTGAGTCGCTCGGATCACCAACTCTCCTACTCCTGCTGTGCAGATTCCCAAGAGCAAGGCCGGCGAGGCCACCAAAGTGGCTATTGACGCAGGTTTCCGTCACATCGATGCGGCCTACTTCTATCAAAATGAGGAGGAGATCGGGGCAGCCCTCCGAGAGAAGATTGCCGATGGCACTGTGCAGAGAGAGGACATTTTCTACATCAGCAAGGTGAGGGTCCTGTGTGTGGAGTGACCAGAGGCCACCCTCGGTTCAGACATGTAATTGTGAAAAAAAATTGTCTGCATTTGAATAATTTATGTATGTCTCAATATTGTGGAGGTTCATTATAGAAACACAGACAACAGAAGAGGCTTGCTTGCTCTGGAACGTGTTAAAGGTGGGACACCGTTCCTCAAAGTCTCTGAACATCACATTATTCATATTCAAAATGAGAATAATATTTATCTTTTTAAACTGTCATACGGATTAACCAAGCCACTATGGGCCTACTCCAATTCTTCGGTAGATTCTCTCAGGACATATCAAGTGAGGTTGAGATATTATTCAGAAAAGAGAGCCAGACTAGGAAATACCTTTTTTTTTTTTTTAATCAAATCAGCACTGATTTGACTGAAATTTGTAAAATCTGTAAGATTTTCTTGGATGGAAAACCTTACTTCCAATGAAAAGAGAGCTGAGGTCTCTATAGAAAAACCCTATGTGTGTCTACATTGATAACAACACTTGCTTTTAGAATGCAGATATCTCAGCAGAATTGTTTTAGGTGTTTATTTTACAGGACGGTAGGTCCCATCCCCTGCCTGCCACTTCTCGCCTCCTTTTAGAGGATGACTCTTCTAATCCTTGAAACTTTTAAGTGGTTTTTCCTGCGCCATGAAGTTTTATTCAGTTTTCTTACATGGCAGTCACTCAAATAAAAAGAAAAAAAAAGGAAATAGAGAGTAGAACAGTGGTTCCGGAGGCAGGGAAAGGGAGGGGAATAGGGGGTGGGTAGAGGTGGGTAGACTGGTGCAAAGTCACAAAGTTACGGTTAGAAAGGAAGAGTAAGTTCTGGTGTCCTAGGGTGACAATAGCTAATAATATTGTGCTGTGTATTTGAAGATAGCCACAAAAGAGGATCTTGAATGTTTTAACCACAAAGAAATGGTGAATGTTTAGGAGGCAGATGTGCTAACTGTTCTGATCACATCATTCTACAATATATGCATGCATTAAATCTGGCATCTCTTAAGGACCTAATTCATACTGAGCGACAGGAACTAGCCCAGCTGCTCTTAGTCTTAGGCCACCATGATGGTTTGTCACTCATTGCTCAGTCTTTTAAGTGTGATATTTAATTTTGGTCCCCAAACCTATGAAATCTTAAGCCACTTTTTATTTCTTTTGGTCACTGCAGCTTTGGGCTACTTTCCTTCGACCAGAATTGGTTCGACCAGGGCTGGAAAGGTCACTGAAGAAGCTTCAGCTGAGCTACGTGGATCTCTTCCTTATTCATATGCCGCTCGCTCTGAAGGTCAGCTTTTGGTCTTCCTTGTTATGCCCAGGACTGTTTCATCACTTTGTTAGCACCTCTGTCACCTCATTCCAGCCACAATTTCTGGTTTCTTGCTGAGAGAGGTAGGTTTGAGGAGGTGGATAGAATTGCTAAATGATTTGCGACTATCTGGCAGTGGAGTTGCCCCACCATCCTCACCCCTGCCTTCAGGGGGATTAAAGCTCACTCATCCCACGGCCTCTGCCTCAGAGGGTGGAGGGCTTTGCTCTGCATGTCGGAGTGACTGTGCTCCTGTCTGCAGGCCCTTAGTGATTAAGGTCCTCGAGAATGTCGAGTTACTACAGACTGCAGAGATACATAGGAAACCCACACCCCTTTGGTGGGAGGGTCTCTCCCAGGTGAACCTCCCAGATAAAGAAGGAGGTATTGGGGTGGTCCATATTGCACAGTGGGTACCTTTTGGCTTTGCTGATCCAATCTCTCATCACAGTGGACATTTGCTGAGCACGTTTGATGTCATTTTGACATCAATTATCTTTTGACATCATTATCTCAGAGCCAGGTTCTCAAAAACTGGAGCTAAAACACCTGGTTAATAGTTATGGCAAGTCCTGTCTTCCAAACCAGCCTGCCCTTGAGAAATGAGGTAAATTCCATCTGTGGAGCACCTCATTCTTTGTGAAGTTCAGGGGTGTGGGAGGGTAGGAGAGTGGAGGTAATTAGGGGGAAAGGTGTTTAGCTGCCCTCTCTCAGGTGATTCTGATCTTCTTTTCCCCCAATCTTCTCTTACACGCACACATGGACACGCATGCACACTCAGATCAATAACCACAGCCTCCTGAAGGATGTGTGACCAAGCTCCTTAGTCACCAGAAAGGTGATTCTTAAGGAAAATCATCTTCATCCTGTGTTTTCTCCATGTTTCAGCCTGGGGAAGAACTTCTGCCAAAGGATGCCAATGGGGACATTATCTTAGATACAGTGGACATTCGTGACATATGGGAGGTACGTCCTGCTACAGACACCTAAGAGGCACTATGTGGCAAGGTAGGGATCCCAGGATGGGAGCTAGGAGAGATGGGTTTTTGTGCCAGTCGTTGTCTGACGTCAGATATGTGACTGTGACTTCTCTGCATTTCTGTGTTCTCATCTGTCAAGTGAGGGAGTTGAGCGGGATGAGTTCTGAGTTCCATTGTAAATCCCAACTTCTGTGGTTCTGAGTAGGTATTTCTGTGCTCTACAGATGAGATTGAGGTGTGAACCATATAATATGTATCAGCAGAGACAAATGCCAAAGGAGTTAGTGCAATATTCCAGGACAGATAAATGTGCCTTGGAGGGAGGGCAAAGCTGTTGTCTGACTTAGCAGAATGGTGGACTGTAAAGAGAGCAAAGCCTGTCTGTATAAAGCCCATTCCATATATACATTTTTTTCACTATAGCAACAAACCCTCTATAACAAACAACCTGAGAGTTTCTCTTTGCCTTGACTCTGGTATCATTTGTTGAAGAACTTTTGCATGCCTAACAGCAAAACAGGCACCACTGAAGGGGGAAGGGAGGTAAAGAGGAGTTTAGAAGCTTCTTAATGGCTATTTGTTCTGAGGGTGTGTATAATAGAATCAAGGAGTGCATTCGGAGGGCTGGCTGGTTATCTCAGTTGGTGAAAATGTGGTGCTGATAACACCAAGGTCAAGGGTTTGGATTCCAATACTAGCAAGCTGCCAAAAAATAAAAAAATAAACAAAAGTGGAAAGAAATAAAGTGCATTAGGAAACAATGTGTTCAAATGATAAAGCTGTTTGATTCCTATGTTAAAACGTATTTTCAATTGGATCCTGCTGAGGAGCCCACCACTCCAGTAGGGATGGGAAAGGTCGAAGGAGTTAGTGGTGTGGAGTTTATGGAAATCCAAGCAGGGGAGTTAAAAATGAAGAGAGAAAATGCAAGTCTATGCAGAGGAGTGGAAAGTAATAATATAAATAAATCATGATTTTAAAAACTATTATAAAAAACACCCTGTCCTACTCACACAGAAGGCAGGAGCCACTGCTTCCATGATTAGGGAGGCCTAGGCAGGGAAAGGCCCTGGGAAGACCTCCACCCCACCCACACATAAGGCTGGAGGCAGCACCAGCGAGACCCAGGAGGCCCCACACCACTTCTGCAAAGGTGATTCACAATTGCCACCACCACAGCTTCTACCACAGAAAGGATGGCTTGCTGCCACAGTAGCAGCCATGACCATCATGCAGTTGGCCTGATCTATATTTCACTGCACTGACACAAAAAGAGTCACTAGATGAGCCTGGAAAAAGAGGAGGAAGTCTTTCTCCTCAAAGTCCACTCCAGAGTAATAGAAGAAGCAACTGATCTACCAGATGACCAGAAATCAATGTAGAGATGCTAGACATATGAAAAAACAAGGAAATATGACACTGTCAAAGGAATATAGTAACTCTCAAGTACCAGAACCTACAGAACAGGAAACCCTTGAAATGACCAAAAAGGAATTCTGAATAGCTATGTGATGGAAAGTCAATGAGATAAGACAAGATTCAGTTAGACAACACAATGAAACAAGAAAAAAATATCCAGGATATGAAGGAGGAAGTTTACAAAAGAATGTAGCAATACTTTTGAAGGACTCATACAATTAAACAATAAAACCCTACAGAGAGCTTAAGCATTGGATTAGAGCAAGTAGAAGAAAGAATTTCTGATCTCAAAATGGTCTTCACGAAATAAGCCAGAAGGACAAAAAAAAAAAAAAAAAAAAAAAAAAAGAACTTTAAAAAATGAAGAAAGTCTAAGACAGCTAACAGACAACTTTAAGTGCACAAACATTCAAATCATGGGTCTTCCAGAAGAAAGAAGAAGGGTAAAGACATTGAAAATCTATTCACTGAAATAAGAATAGAAAACTTCCTATGAACGGGAGGACACTTACCTTCAAATCCAGGCAGTTCAAAGATCCCAAACAGATTCAATCCAAAAAGATCTACTCCAAGACACATTATAATCAAACTGGCAAAGCTTAAAGACAATGGAGAATCCTGAAAGCAGCAAGGGAAAAGCCTCAAGTCACTTATAAGGGAGTCCCCATCACACTAACAGCAGACTTTTCAACTGAAACTCTACAGGTGAGAAGAAAATGGGATGACATATTCAAAATACTAAAAGAAAAAAAACCTGCCAACCAAGAATACTATACCCAACAAAGCTATCCTTCAGAAATGAGGGAGAAATAGTGTATTTCTCAGATAAATAAAAACTGTGGGAGTTCGTCACCACATGACCAGCCCTGCAATAAATTCTCAAGGGAGTCCTGCCTCTGGAATCTGAAAAACAGTAATCACTACCGGGAATACACAAGAAAAAACAAAACCCACTGATAAAACACAAGTGCAAATAAGAAAGAAAAAAAGAAACTAAATCTTACTACCTCAGAAAACCAATGAACATTGAAGATAAATAATAAAAGGAGAAAAAAGGAACAAAAGATATTGAAAACATCTAACCAAAAAGTGATAAAACGCCAGAAGCAACACAATACCTCTCAGCAACAGCCTTGAATGTAAACAGATTAAACTTCCCACTCAAAAGACAAACACTGATGTACTAGGTTAAAAAGCTAGACCCAACTATGTGCTGTCTTCAGGACACTCATCTCATCTGTAAAGACACACACAGACTAACAGTGAAGTGATGGAAAAAGATATATCATGCAAATGGAAACCAAAGACGAGGAGGAATAGCTATTCTTACATCAGATAAAATAGACTTTAAACCAAAAACCATAAAAAGAGACAAAGAAGGTCAATATATAATGATAAAGGGATCTATCCTGTAAGAAGAAATAACAATCACAAATATATATAGATGCAATACCAGAGCACCCAGATATCTAAAGCAATCACTATAAGACCTAAAGAAAGAGATAGGTCCAAATATGATAATAGTAGGGGACCTAAACACCCCTCTCTCAGCACTGGATGGATCATCTAGGCAACAAATCAATAAACACAGGATTTAAGCTATGCTTTAGAGTAATTGGACCTGACACAATTTAACATGTTGTTTTGTGAAAATGGAAGGGAAATGGCTGCTTCAGGCTAAGAAGGACAAATCTAAAGTGGAATCCTAGGAAATGAGAGCACACTTCTTAGACTGATACCTCAAATGGGGAAGATGAGGATGTCCAAGCAGAGGTAATGATGATGAAGCAGAAAATTCTCAGGCTAGACCACTAATTATACAATAGCTTAAGAGTAGGCAAGAATGACCAGGTGGGTAAACACTCAAGATTTGCCTCCTCTTGCAAAATATATTCACCCAAGCACCTTCCCTTACACCTTGGCAAAGCTGGTAGAATTGGCCCCTAAGTTTCATCAGACAGGGAGAAAGAACATTCCTTGGTGGTTGCTCCATTTCTAAGATAGAGGGGCCAATGGCATAATATTGTCTGGGGATAAACTGTTTAAAATGTCATTGGTCATCCATCATCCCTCATTCTGGCAGCACATTTACAGAGCAGAGCAGTATGATAGAAATGCTTCTCTGTTGACTTGTATCATGGAAGGCTGCCATGCCACATGGCCCAGTGAAGGGAGTCTCCCAGGAATACCTCTTTAGTGGTCTACCATGGAGGATTTGCAAGAATTCCTTAGGGAACTGGGAATGAGACATGCTATTTGCCAAGATCCCTTCCATGGTCCAGTCTTGGTGCAATATACTGGAGTAATGAAAGACAGGGTTATACATTTGGCTCCCAGTAGCTGCTATGGAACATTGGTATCTGTTCTGTCACCCCTAGTAGGCAATCAGTTCAAAGGGCAACATAATCCATAGCTGATCTAGGGGAAACTGAAATCATACAACAGAGTAAAGGGATCATAAAGTGAAAGTAACAGCACCAAAAGGGGAAAAAGGGGGAAAGGGAGGGCAGAAAGAGCCACTGAAGGTTACTAGAAAATGGCTGTGGTTGGACCTAACTAAGACAGGGGTCGATCCACAAACAATAGATAAGAAGCCAAATACGAACTTACTTAAATTGTGTCAACAGCTGCCCCCAAAAAACTATTCCAGCCCCTGCTGGAAAAAATGGCCAGAAAATTGGCTAATTAGGGAACGGACTCCTTCAGGAAGAAGACAGGCAGAGCTGCAGCTGAAGGACTTCATGAAGTCCGCCCTCTACAGGGGGCCTCTTTGGTTCACCCCAATTGGAGGCCAGTGCTCATCCAGAGGAAGATGAAACAGATTTTGTGTTCCCCTGGTCCCAAGCCTAGGGGTGGGGCCAAGTGACAGAGGAAATGCGAGCTGTCTTTGTCAACTGGAGACCCCCCGTTGAGCTCACTATATTCTGGTCTCTGCAGGACATACAAAGGGGTGATTGCCTTGGTAGATACAGGATCTGAATGTACACTGATATATGGGAATCCACCAAAATTCAAGAGATTGATTACTCCTATAGATGGGTATAGTGGACAATCCATTAAAGTAAGAAAGTTGAAGTTAACATTAAGGATTTGTCAGATCCCCCCGCCCCCAGGGGACATACTGTGTGTATCTCCGCGATCGGGGAATATATACTTGGGATTGATATACTGCAAGGTTTGTTATTGCATAGTAGTGTGGGGAAGTTTCACCTATGAAGTAGGGTTTGAAAGAGGTCAAGAGAGGTAAAGTACAGTACCCTCTGGTGCAGCTGCCACCACCTTGGTGAATAGCAGCAATTAAGCAATATCAGTACCCAGGGGATCATAAGGAAATTGAGGAAACTATAATGGAGTTAGCCAAGGTGAAAATAATACACCCAGCCCACAGTCCGTATAACTCCCTGGTGTGGCCTGTCTGTAAACTATATGGCACTTGGAGAATGACTGCAGACTATAGGGAACTAAATAAGGTAATTCCTCATTTACATGCAGCTGTACCTAATATTACTGATATGATGGATAAATTAGGGACTCTACTGGGGACATATCATGCTGTATTAAATTTGG